TTAACGTATAAGGATCCGCTGGTTGTCAGTTGGTACGAATCCCACAATTACTCAGGTTATGGCCCTTGGCATACGACGGGACATGGTGTTTCCTCCCATTTTAACTGATATCGTGATTTAAGTACAAAATATACAACCGAAAGCAGCGTTGCGAACGCGCTTATATTGCTACAAAATCTGTGTGAAGAACAACGCTCACTCGAAGCTAAATGACTGCTATACATAAGTAACGCGTCTGTATCCTAGCTTTATACGTGGTTTTGGAAAATGATGTTCTCAGTTTGTGTATCTGGATATAGTTTGTGTATCGATGGCCATACCTATCATACAGGCGTGTGTATCATGAGTTGCCATCTATGTTTCTCCCATATTGCCCCCATGGTTTCACATCCGGTTGCAAGATGGATATATGTGAAATCTATCTTACACCCCGATACGTACCAGGCTATTACTGGCGGTGTTCATTCTTATTCAGCTTTGCGGGGACAGTCGATATTTGATATCGGGTTCACATTGTTCCCTTCAAATACCCGTCGAGGCAAAGGTTGGACTTTATATCAGCTAACATAGACACACGTGGCCGTGCAAGTCGCGGATTGATATTTGTCCCAAACAAGTAACATCATCGAACAGACTACTGATTTCTTCCTTCGAGGCCTATGGCATTTTGGCTATAAATGCGCTCCTGAGAATTATGTAATAATAATTTATAGAAACATCTGACTTTTATTCGAAAAGTGCCTCTTTGTAAGCATTGTATGTCTAAACTTTGTTAAAAATGAGACTATGTCATAAATTTCTATCAGCTAATGTGTCACAAATCCCATATTGGAGGACGTACGGTAACCCAGCCCTATTTCAACTCCACTCGCACTGCTTCAAGCAATTGTCAAGGTGAAACAGTTTATAAGAGTTGTGCCCAATGAGGTGTGCCATATTCGATTTAACGCCCGGGGCATGTGGATGACAAAAGGGGTCTAGGTTTTTGCCACTGACTGATCGACTAAATCAACTATGTCTACTCAAGGGTATACGTTTTCTTGCCACTGGCGTTCTTCTGAATTCAAAGGCCCAGTTGATCATTGAGAGGACGTACCGCTGTAAAATGCAGCTATTGTTTTCGTATCATTCATGCCATCACATTGACATATACAATACATAGGTACACAAGAGATCTTAGATGTCAGTCAAAATTACACAGTCAATCAGATACAAATTTTGTTTATTGTGGCCTTTTGTTGATGAATATACAGATCTACAGTAACATCCCCTCTGGCGGGATGTTAACGGTAAATGTGACAGCTCCAGATGTATAAGGATGACTTTGAAATAACAAGGAATTTGACTGAGATGATGATTATAAACAAAAGCAATCAGAAACAACTGTTTGTATTGCATATGCTGAAGATGATTACAGGAATTCTTCCAAAATCTTCACAAAAGCCCACACTATGATGTGCACAAGGTGGAGCCCACCATCATGATTACTGGTCGGTGGTTATCATCTTACATGACTGATTTATGGCTGTCAATAAAGTTCATTGCATATTTGTTTCATTTTCTGTTCACCCATTACTATCGATTAATATGTCAATCATTTATTTATTCATCTGTCTGTCTATGCGTTGACTCCAGAAAGAAAAGTAAAGACAAGGTTGAACACCACAACAAACACGCTTGTGAAGACATGGTTGAACACCACAACGAACACCTTGTGAAGACATTAAGGCTGAACATCACAAACACCCTTGTCAAGGCATTATCGCTGAACACAACAAACCCCTTTGTGAAGACACTTTGGTTGAACACCACAATACACACGCCTGTGAAGATAAGGTTGAACACAACAAATACCTTTGTGGAGACATAATGGTTGAACACCACACTATACGCGCCTGTGAAGACATTAAGGTTGAACACATGAGGTAAAGACAAGGTTGAACACCACAACAAACACCGCTGTAAAGTCATTAGGGTTGAACACATAAGGTAAAGACAAGGTTCAACACCACAACAAACACCGCTGTAAAGACATTAAGGTTGAACACATAAGGTAAAGACAAGGTTCAACACCACAACAAACACCGCTGTAAAGACATTAAGGTTGAACACATGAGGTAAAGACAAGGTTCAACACCACAACAAACACCGCTGTAAAGACATTGAGGTTGAACACATAAGGTAAAGACAAGGTTCAACACCACAACAAACACCGCTGTAAAGACATTAAGGTTGAACACATGAGGTAAAGACAAGGTTCAACACCACAACAAACACCGCTGTAAAGACATTAAGGTTGAACACATGAGGTAAAGACAAGGTTCAACACCACAACAAACACCGCTGTAAAGACATTAAGGTTGAACACATGAGGTAAAGACAAGGTTCAACACCACAACAAACACCGCTGTAAAGACATTAAGGTTGAACACATAAGGTAAAGACAAGGTTCAACACCACAACAAACACCGCTGTAAAGACATTAAGGTTGAACACATAAGGTAAAGACAAGGTTCAACACCACAACAAACACCGCTGTAAAGACATTAAGGTTGAACACATATGGTAAAGACAAGGTTCAACACCACAACAAACACCGCTGTAAAGACATTAAGGTTGAACACATAAGGTAAAGGCAAGGTTGAACACCACAACAAACACCGCTGTAAAGACATTAAGGTTGAACACATGAGGTAAAGACAAGGTTCAACACCACAACAAACACCGCTGTAAAGACATTAAGGTTGAACACATAAGGTAAAGACAAGGTTCAACACCACAACAAACACCGCTGTAAAGACATTAAGGTTGAACACATGAGGTAAAGACAAGGTTCAACACCACAACAAACACCGCTGTAAAGACATTTAGGTTGAACACATAAGGTAAAGGCAAGGTTCAACACCACAACAAACACCGCTGTAAAGACATTAAGGTTGAACACATGAGGTAAAGACAAGGTTCAACACCACAACAAACACCGCTGTAAAGACATTAAGGTTGAACACATAAGGTAAAGACAAGGTTCAACACCACAACAAACATCACTGTAAAGACATTAAGGTTGAACACATGAGGTAAAGACAAGGTTCAACACCACAACAAACACCGCTGTAAAGACATTAAGGTTGAACACATGAGGTAAAGACAAGGTTCAACACCACAACAAACACCGCTGTAAAGACATTAAGGTTGAACACATGAGGTAAAGACAAGGTTCAACACCACAACAAACACCGCTGTAAAGACATTAAGGTTGAACACATGAGGTAAAGACAAGGTTCAACACCACAACAAACACCGCTGTAAAGACATTAAGGTTGAACACATAAGGTAAAGACAAGGTTCAACACCACAACAAACACCGCTGTAAAGACATTAAGGTTGAACACATAAGGTAAAGACAAGGTTCAACACCACAACAAACACCGCTGTAAAGACATTAAGGTTGAACACATGAGGTAAAGACAAGGTTCAACACCACAACAAACACCGCTGTAAAGACATTTAGGTTGAACACACAAAAAACCCACATGTAAAGACAAGGTTGAACAATGCCATGTGAAAAGGGAAGTACATGTATTCACTGAAGAGACCAGATGTAGCCCCAGTACGTGGCTACAAACGACACTGTTCAAGTTGTCACCCACATAAGATCCCGTCTTCAAGGAAGCTGGACAGTTTTTTTACACTGCACTGAATAACAATCTGTACAGGATATGTCACACACAGTTTCTTTTGATGTTGTAGAGACGAGTAAGCAGATGGGACGCTACTTGACCGATGTACTTATGCCCATGGAAGTAGGTGTTCCTTATATTTATGGCATTGTCAGGTTACATCCGTGTTGGAAAATAACACTTTTAAAATACTGACGTATTCATAGTTGGAAATACATTAATCTAGCTTAAGTTCTGACGCATGGTTTATTAAAAAATGTGAAACATTGTTTTAAGAAAAAAGTATTGCGTGGGGGAAATCGTATCATACTCGCATGATCAAAAACTAGAATATACATAGAAAAATCATACTAGTACATTTGGATGTTTTGTGTTGAACGTGATGATGTCATGGGAGCAAAGAAACAAGTTCGAATTCAATACCAAACATCCAAATGTACTAGTATGACGTTCTATATTTATTATATACCCTCTTATCTTGCATTCATGTGTTACTTAATAAAACACATCGAGCTTTGGAGAAAGTAGAACCGGGGTTCAATACGGAATCTGGGCTGCAATATGGAATTTGACCACGTCATCCGTATTGCACCCCTGTATTTCTATCCTAAGTTTATTGAGAGTGAGTGAGTTTAGTTTTACGCCGCACTCGGTAATATTCCAGCTATATGGCGACGGTCTGTAAATAATCGAGTCTGGACCAGACAATCCAGTGATCAACAGCATGAGCATCGATCAGCGCAACTGGGAACCAATGACATGTATCAACCAAGTCAGCGAGCCTGACCACCCGATCCCGTTAGTCGCCTCAAGATTACGATAAGCATGAGTTACTGAAGATCAATATTCTGACCCGGACCTTCACGGGTCTATAAATACATTGAGAAGCGGAGATATGCGTCAAAGTTGTTATTGACTGTGATATATATGCCTGCTGGACCTATTTCTAAAATGTATCTTGGGTATGTTATCCTTCTCCTATTAAAACGACTTTTCGTAACAGCGCTTATAGTTGGCCATATCGTCCCTGCAGAGGCCCACATTCACTTCAAGTACAACCTGGCAGACGGTCAAAATGTTTGAAGCGCTGTCTAATATTTGGATACGTGAAACGACATGTTTCAATTATAAATGATCCTCACACGACAACACAAGTTTATCTTGATAAAGGTGCGACTTTATAAATGCCGTGACACGCTAAGATAACGGATTTCCCGGTGAACGAACAGGGGCACTTGCGTTCACACCAGCTATCGTGACGTTGTTTTCGTCTTACGGAGAGAAGCGGTAGTGGCTCGCTGATTGGTCAATAATCTACTCTGGCTGAGTGGGATGTGTTTCGCAGTAGACACGCGACAAGCGTACCGATGGTACGGCGAAAGTTTCGCTTGCTACTTTTGCTAGCCAGCATTTGGCTTGTAGGAATTGTCTACTATGTTTATAAGGCCAGCGAGGAACAGGTAAGAATGCATGTTTTACATTCATGTCACAAGTTGGGACGGAAGAGTTCCGGGGCTCGAGATCAGTTCCTAGGCTCCGAACTCGGCAGGTCCCGTAGTGGCTGTCAGTGAGGTGCCGTTCTATTAATAGATGGAATTCGTCAAAGAGTGTGGGTCATATTGAAAATATTGTTTAAAGGGAGAGCATTCGTCGGCAGACGGTTTGTTAATACTTTTAAATTAAAGCTTTTAAACGATGACGTTATGAATGCTGATAAGAAGATAATTTGTCACTTCATGGAAAAAGTTCCAAATATAAAACATATATCATCACCCATGGTCTGTAGATTACTGTTTACATTTCCATAACTGGCCTGTTTCACATGTGTGAGTTTGACACAAAAAAATCTTATTTCCAACTCTGATGAAATAAATTCAGTTGAACAATATATGTATTTCTCTTTAAATGTCAGATTAAAATAAAATATTTTGCATAGTTTTTTTTGTCATAGTGGGATCCAGGAAATTCACATTATCCATAATATATCATTTGTTATTGTTTTCTCAAAACTCCTTTATAATGATAGCCACAAAATTTTCCTGTCAAGTTTGTGCTGTCATGCATGTTATTTAACAATGTATAGAAATTGTAATGGTACAAAAATATAAAAGTGTAGTGAGATTGTTTGAAACTTTTGACATTTTCTTGTGGAATTCAAAAACTATCTTTCACAGTTTTTGCAGTGAGCAGATTGTGAATACTGTACATGGATGATGGAGTGGGTTCGTTGAGCATGACACTCAGTGAAGCTTAATGAAGGCTTAATGAACATAGATTAACATTTCTGACAAATGTTTTTCTTGCCATATTTAGCTTGGTTTTTACGATTGTTTTTTAAGCTTTCCCCTTTCATCATATCCAAATGTAATTAATCATGAAATTTTGACAAGGATAAAAACTTCAGGTTTTAGTGTAAGAAAATAATATGTAGGCCAATTCTGTACCTTGAGTCTTATTACCCTATTTTCTCTTTGAAAATATGGCCATTTTAATGATTTTCCCATAAACAAAATAGTGACTTGTGAGACAGAATATTTTGAATAATTTACTGGTAATACATGACATAGCTGGTTAACTCCTGACCAGATGTGGAGTTCTCATGTAACAGTGCTGCAGTTGACCATGTATAGAGCAGAGTTCAGAGTACATGTGGATATACATCCAAATATACAGCTGTAGAGCCTATCTTTTAATTTCGAAGAGGGCCATCATATGAATATATACAAAATGTCTACTAATATCTTAGTATTGCTTTGTTGTGTTGGAATTTGATGTTTTATCCTCTTACTTCTCACTTCATGGAAAAAGTTCCAAATATAAAACATATATCATCACCCATGGTCTGTAGATTACTGTTTACATTTCCATAACTGGCCTGTTTCACATGTGTGAGTTTGACACAAAAAAATCTTATTTCCAACTCTGATGAAATAAATTCAGTTGAACAATATATGTATTTCTCTTTAAATGTCAGATTAAAATAAAATATTTTGCATAGTTTTTTTTGTCATAGTGGGATCCAGGAAATTCACATTATCCATAATATATCATTTGTTATTGTTTTCTCAAAACTCCTTTATAATGATAGCCACAAAATTTTCCTGTCAAGTTTGTGCTGTCATGCATGTTATTTAACAATGTATAGAAATTGTAATGGTACAAAAATATAAAAGTGTAGTGAGATTGTTTGAAACTTTTGACATTTTCTTGTGGAATTCAAAACTATCTTTCACAGCCTGTTTTTGCAGTGAGCAGATTGTGAATACTGTACATGGATGATGGAGTGGGTTTGTTGAGCATGACACTCAGTGAAGCTTAATGAAGGCTTAATGAACATAGATTAACATTTCTGACAAATGTTTTTCTTGCCATATTTAGCTTGGTTTTACGATTGTTTTATAAGCTTTCCCTTTCATCATATCCAAATGTAATTAATCATGAAATTTTGACAAGGATAAAACTTCAGGTTTTAGTGTAAGAAAATAATATGTAGGCCAATTCTGTACCTTGAGTCTTATTACCCTATTTTCTCTTTGAAAATATGGCCATTTTAATGATTTTCCCATAAACAAAATAGTGACTTGTGAGACAGAATATTTTGAATAATTTACTGGTAATACATGACATAGCTGGTTAACTCCTGACCAGATGTGGAGTTCTCATGTAACAGTGCTGCAGTTGACCATGTATAGAGCAGAGTTCAGAGTACATGTGGATATACATCCAAATATACAGCTGTAGCGCCTATCTTTTAATTTCGAAGAGGGCCATCATATGAATATATACAAAATGTCTACTAATATCTTAGTATTGCTTTGTTGTGTTGGAATTTGATGTTTTATCCTCTTACTTCTAGAGAGGTAAGATTGCATATGTTACTTCGGTCAATATTTATTTATTCACAATATTTACAATATTGATATTGATTTTCATCTCTCATAAGTTATTGTATCTTTCTTCACTGTATTAATCATAGAAGTGCCATTGATTATTGATCAGGTCACAATGGTTAGATAGTTTAAGAATTTGGGATAAAGGTCTTTTGAACTATGTATATGTTTATTGATTGTTTCTGTGTAACAGTTGTTTTAACATGTTATCACCCAAGCAATATAAGTCCAACATGGTATAATTGTCGTAACATGCTAAACATGCTGATCTATCAGTTATGAATTTTGTTATAAAACATCAGTTGATTTACATCAACTATTGCATAGTCATAAAAATAGAAACATCCAACATCATTGTAATCATGGCAGAAATGGAGAACTTAATGTAACATGTATCACATGTTCAGCTTTATAAGAGCAGATCTTTGAACTTAAAAGTTAAAAACAATTTAAGCATTTTGGACTTGCTTTTGTACATGTCCATGGTTTAGAAACTTTAGCTTTGTGCAAATGGTGGGGGTTGTATAGAGTAGTTTGATATTTGTTTGATAAGTGTCAGTATTATATCCAGCATCGGTCAATATGGGGGGACCTGCCTCTATTATAGTTTGGGGGTGAGTGAGCTAGAGATGGGGTTGGGGCGATATGTGTTCACACATAAATATGTCACTTTGAGATGGAAGTCGTAAAACCAAATTCCCCAGTTTGGAGAAGGTAGTTACCAAACTGACAGTTATTTTATGGTTGAAGTATCTATCTAAATTTATTGCTCTAAATTACTCTAATTATAAGCCATATTTGTACTTGATTACCAATTAATAGTGTTGTTTTGTAGTAATACTTGTGATCTGGTGGTAGTTAGGATACATTTACCAATGATGCTGATGATGTAAACATGTGATGGATGTTGTATGATGAGGCGGTTTATGCAATTTACAAATGATGCTGATGCATTTTGAAATTTTTCAAGATTTCTTATAATATGTATGGCATATGTCTTGGAACCTTTTAAGTTTTGTGAATGGTAATTTATTTCTTTCTTGATGTTTATTGCCAAAGAAATGAACTGTACAATGTGAGTTCAGCACAAATTCCTGGATTGTATGCTGTGTAACTTTACCTCAGTTGTAAGTCATGACAAGAAAACAGTGGTTGAGGTGGCAAATATGTGATGATCATCGGTGATCACAGTGAGGCAGTTTTATATTCCTGTCTGGCCAGTTTTGCCCCAGTATAATTTTTTTCAGCAGCCTTCGCACAACTGTCCAACATTACTTTAGGAGCACTCATGGATTGCAAAGGTCACTCTGCCGGTGTTTGTCGTGTTTAAGATGAATGCTTCCTTGATTATGTCACATCCTGATCTTAAACTGGGAGACATTTACAATGTAATCACCACAAAATAAATTTCACCAAGTCATACCTCTTGTACTTTGTATGACCACACGCAATCAACTTTTTCATTTGAATTATAATTTCAATACAACCTTCTGGTACAACATCAGTATTGACTTTTTTTGCTCAGCAAAGATTGACATGGCCTCCAAAATAACATTTGGTAAGCGTGAGACACTGAGGGCTGGTTGTTTCCTTGTTTGTTCGGTGATTTAACATGTGCTAGGCTGATTGTCCTCCCTCCCTTGACCATGGGTCACCAGTGTTATGCTAATGGTCAGTCGCAGCCAGAGACAATATGGAGATGCCTGTGTGTTTGGACTCTGATAAGGGGGATCAGGGGCTGAAATCTGGTTTCCTTTGAACATTGTTGAAGATTGTCAAAGCATTTTTGGAAGACATTGTTTTAGGGAGAATAGTTGATACTGTATCGCGATGTATTGCTGTCGTCAGTGACATGAGATGTAATAACATACTGACTGCTGCAATGTACTGTCATATACATACTGACTGTACTGTCATATACATACTGACTGCTGCAATGTATTGTCATATACATACTGGCTATTGCAATGTACTGTCATATACATACTGACTATTGCAATGTACTGTCATATACATACTGACTATTGCAATGTACTGTCATATACATACTGACTATTGCAATGTACTGTCATATACATACTGACTATTGCAATGTATTGTCATATACATACTGGCTATTGTAATGTATTGTCATATACATACTGACTATTGCAATGTACTGTCATATACATACTGACTGTACTGACATGTATTGTCATATACATACTGACTGTTTTGCAATGTATTGTCATATGCATACTGACTGTACTGTCATTTACATACCGACTGCTGCAATGTACTGTCATATACATACTGACTGTACTGTCATATACATACTGACTGTTTTGCAATGTACTGTCATATACATACTGACTATTGCAATGTATTGTCATATACATACTGACTATTGCAATGTATTGTCATATACATACTGGCTATTGCAATGTATTGTCATATACATACTGGCTATTGCAATGTATTGTCATATACATACTGGCTATTGCAATGTATTGTCATATACATACTGACTATTGCAATGTACTTTCATATACATACTGACTGTACTGACATGTATTGTCATATACATAATG